ACAGGGTGTCCCAGGGATAAAGTCATTTAAACCCCAGCACCACACAGAGCACACTCAGTGGGCTCCATGCAGCAGGAGAGAAGCTGTAGTCCTAGCCTAGAGGAGTCCGTAGACTCATCGGGATCCCTAACCTTTTGACACTGTCAAGGAAAGGCTGCACCTTAGGGACCATTACCTAACAGATGACAGACCAGCTGTCCTCACACAGCAAGCCTGATGCTTCCTAGGGGGTCAGAGTGACACACAGGCATGTAACATTTGCACTGCACTTGTTCAAGCTGCAGTGTAGTCTAAGAAAAAGAGAAATGAGGAAGAACTGGTCTGTCTGTAGCCTTTTCCCCATGTGCATCTTGGAATAAGGAGATGTGAAGGCTAGGGTAATTGTCCTGGCATGGCAGGTGCTGCTGTGGGCAGTGGGCTGAGCACTCCTGATCTGAGAACCGTTCCCTGTCTGAGCACGGTGAAAGGTTTGCATCTTATACTAATTTTTTGTATACACTGCAGGCATAGGCATAGCTGGTATGTGACACTTGCCCAGGTTGTTTCAAGCTGGCTGACTTCTGGGACCGTTTGAGGAGGGAAGTGGAAGCAAACAGAGCAATTCAAGAGAGAACAATCTGTGCAGAGAAAGCACCAGAGACAGGAGGAGGGGGTGGTGAGAGAAGCAGCTGTGCACTGTCTTGATGTTGTTGCCACTGGTAGAGTAGAAGAGGGGAGAGAATGCATAGAGGGCACCTGGATGGTGCTTTACGAAATGATGAGGCTAAGGGTGAAGAATAGGAAGTGATGTGACCGTGGAAAGGAAGGAAGAAGGGGTAGAGGTGGCGTAGTGGTGCCTGTGGAGCAAACAGATGAAGCTGAGCATTCTGGCAGCCCAGCCCAGCTCCCTTTGCTATGTGGCAGTGTTGGGGGAACAAGAGTTGAAGCAGTTTGCTCTCTGTACTTAAAGACACGACCCAGAGAGGCAGGTGGCAATATCTGTAGGTGACTCACGTGGCAGGTAATAGCCAGTAGAGACCACAGCAGGCAGCAAGAAGGTGTGCATACAGCACACTTACTGGTGTGTCTGACCCCTTCTGGATTCCTGCCATCTACTGCCTAGTGTAGTCTGCAAATGCAGTACAGGTTTCTGATTAAAGAGAGCATTTCCAACACCCAAATAAATAGGTTTTCTTGTAACAGCACACCTGAACTATAGAAGCATGAAAGGAAGATCTGAAAATATGAGTGGGAGAATCATTATATGCAGAGTTACGATCTCGAAAAACCAGCACTTCTGCTGTCACTCATTAGATAGACTTCACACAATAAATAAGAAGTGAACCCTCCCGAGGCTGTTTTGTTCAAAGCTGGTACTGTCTTTGACTTAAAATCTGAATTGGACCCAAAGCCAGTACATTGCATCCTGCTTAAAGGAGAACTAATTGGCAGAACTTTATCTCAGCTGTCAGTGCAAGCAAAGCATGGTAACAGAAGCATTAGTGGACAGAGTGGAACAAAAGTCCTGCTAATATGCTTAAAATGTGTCACTTCCTAATGTAAAATGAATGCTTTATCTTTAAGGAAAGAAGCTTCATGAAAAAGAATAGATTCATTACAGTGTTCCTGCTCAGAAATGGTGCTAGCAAAGCGTACAGATGGCAGCTGTTTCGTTTGGTCAGTATGTCTGGAGACTGTGTCCACTTGAAGCCTTGCAGCCTGGAAGGAAGCAGGTGGTAGAACCTGTGCTAATGCAGAAGAGGGCTTGATACAGCTGTTACGTTTGGTTCGTTATGCATATCGCTAGGGAACAACACTATCAGGGCTGAAATGATAACAAGGTACAATACTGGGGAGGCTCAGTAGACTATGAAGTGCACAACCTTGCATGGTTGTGCTAAAAAGGATTAGGAAGGAAGATCTCCTAAGGAGATTTTTCCTCGCAATGGTGATACAAAGAGAGAGCACAGCCAGTTTTCCCTGCAGGTGGGTAATGCAGAGTCCCCAGTTGTTAAGAAGCCAAGCCATTCAAAAGCACTAGGCAGTCTGATATCCTGCTGTTCTCCATCCATCCCATTACTTAGTTCTCTCCTCCTCTTTCTGCTCCCCTCAGTAAAATGGGGGTGAATCAGCAGACACAAACCAGCAGGAGAAGGCCTTCAATCACATACGTCAAAACAATTTATTGTAGCCAGACAAACAAAAGAGATTTCCTGACCTGATGCTCTCTCTGCATTCACACTCCAGGTACAAAACAATCCCTAGGCACAAAGGTTTTTGGTTTCAGGTGGTCTTTTCCAGCCTTTAATCTCTTTTCCCATTAACTCCGAGACACAAAGAAAGGAAGCAAAACCAAAGTTAACCTCTTGAGCTCAGGAGAACTGGCACACAATTCCATTTTCATTCTTCACACTAGAGATGCAGACAGATGTTGAGATCTTAAACCTCCAAGTCAGGAGCAGTGCTGTGCTGTTTGGGGTGACCAGATAAAGGACCATCGTACTGGGTTGTTTCCCAGGATGCCAGTATGGTTGTGCAAAGGCAGCTAAATAGGACTTGGGATCAACAGTGTGGAAGACGACCAAAAGGAGTTTGCTCACTTTACCCATGAAGGAGGAGGTAAGCCTGCCTATCAACACACTGAACGGATTTTTTCACTGAAATTGTTCTTTTCAATCACCTGAAACAGAGAGCTCCTGGCATGTACTGTCACTTAACTTTCCATTTTCTCAGTTATCAGGTGCATGAGTGGTTGCTCTTGGTTTTAAGACAAATTGCCTTTCAACCATTTCCTTCCATCTGGGATGTTTCACAAATGTTTGTTCCAGATGTTTTGTTCACTGTCCAGACTGGCACACTGAAAAGCGATGTATCTAGAGTGGATGCATATTTGCTCAGTGGGGGAAATAAAGCCTAACTAGGATGGCTTTACGTAGCCTGCAAATCCCTGCTTATTGCCTGAAGTTGGCATTGCCTCTGAGAAAGCTCAGCATGGGGTTTGCAGACACGAACTCCTGTTTTGTTAGCTAATGCTTCAGGAAGACTTCGTTTTTAACCAAACCACAATCAAAGGTAAAATGCTTTTAATTATTCATGTTCAGTAAACAATTCATGATATTTGCCCTTATGAAATCACGTCCTTCCTCCATCGAATACTTTTGCAACCCACCTCTGTGCTCTGACGTTCAGTATCAAAAGGATAGGATGGTTTTGTCATCCTCAAGCTCAAGTTACTCAGCTTGAGACCTCTAACATTTTGCTGACAGCCCACATTTGGAAGCCACAGACACCTGCCAAATGAGACACTCAAATTGCCTAGAAAATCTCAGTCTGTCCAGCTACGTCACATGAATAACCAAATCCCTTTTATGATTTCTGCATTATCTTGCAGATTGCTTTTTCTCCTCCCAGCACCAATTTCCATTAAAAAGCTTTTCTGCTCTAGTAGCATGATGTGAGGCTAAATGTTGAGATGCAAGTTTTAGACATTTTTATCTTTGTCCTTTCTTGCCTCTCAGAAAGGATCCATGTAGGGAACATTAAGGTCATTAGAGGCTTTCTGCACCGCAGACCCAATCAGGAAAGGGCATATTCTTGCCTATCCTGTCTCAGTATTGATTCCAAATCCTTACAAATGCGGAGCAGCTTAACACCTGTGAGGCTTGTTACTACACACGTCACTTGGAAATAAATGGCAAAGCTCCCTTGATTTCAGCAGAGACTGCTTTTTTTTCCCCAGGTATTTGGGTCAAACTTATCAACAGCCAAAAGACAGTAGATTTGCCCTTTGAAATCCAATGAACAGAAAGAGGAAAAATGGTCTTTGGATTGTCCATCTGTTCTGTAAAATTTTCCTGAAAATATTATTGGACATTGCTCAAAACTTACTTCCCCACTGCCTCCTTATAGTAATACCTCTTTTATCTGCTACCCTAGAGGCAGTGTTTCACCTTGAGCAAATGTGCCAGTCCACAGTTGGGTGAGGAAAAAACAGAGGTCACTCTAAAAGTAATGCCTCCTATTTATTCCCATGGAAACCACAACCGGTACAAAGAGCACAATTGCACCATCCACGATTACCACCATTAGCTGTGCATTTTCACCAGCAATGCAGGAGAGCTGCATGCAGTGTTCATACAAATCTGCACCAGCAGAGATGGTCCATTGCCACTGTCACCACCCACCCCTCAGTGTGGCAGCACCTACAGTTTGGTCTCCATAGACATTCAGCAACTGTTGATGGATGTCAGTGGGTGTTGTTTTTTGTGTGTGGAGGAATTCACTGATACCCCTTTGCTTCACTGCACTTCCATATGAGACTTCTATCAGAGTGCCCCTCTCACACAGCAACAAAATGGAATGGAATGTTGATGGGAAGATTTGACCTCTACTGCCATCCCACCAACATCCACTCTGATGCTATGGGCTAACATAATGAATCAGGACGCATTACTTTCAGAGCAGCCCTTGTCTGTGCTTTTGGAATGTATGAAAAGCTAGTTCTCTGGAAGAAAATATATAAGTTTGCTCTGCGGTGTCAGTGAGGTGCGTTAGACTTAGCATTACAGCTCTGAAAACAGAACCACATTATCAGATCCATCTTCAGTGCCTTTTCTGGAATGGTGCTGCTGTGTCACTGGGGTCAGCAGCAGATGCAGGGAAAGGGGATGGGGTAGTCCCCAGAATTGTCAGTGAGAGGCTGTCCGTGCTTGGGAATGGCCAATGGTGCTGTTCTGGAGACTGGGGAGTAAGACCAAGGCATGGAAGTCATATTCTGGCCCCAAGGCATTGAATTAGGGGCAGACCCCTCAGATAGATGAAGAGGGGAAGGACAAGCAAGAGCACAGCCAGATCTCTGACATAACGTGTGTGCTGGGCCTCCATGGAGGCTTATTTTACTCTTCCTTCTGGCAGTTTTCATATTGCAAACAGTGTTCTATGTTATGGATATATGAGCAAAAGCCTACTCCAACTCTTTAGGAAAGCCAAAAGCAATACAATTACTCCTGTCTGCCAAACAAGTTACTGCACTTAACAAGCCTGAGTGGTTGGCAGGGCTCAGAATGAACACTTGCCATCGGCGTCTCCGCACCATTACAGCATCTGTGCCCTTGAACAGAAGAGGAAGTGCTCTTGGCTTGGTTAAAATCTTTCTCTGGCCTCAATGACCCAATTATGGCCAACGCCAGCCTTTGAGAAGAGTGCACCATTCAGTGTTCTTCCCCAGAGGTGCCTCAGCTAATAAATGCTGTCAGGGAGAAAAATGGCCCCGGAAGCCAGATTTCACTGTCGGAGCTGGGCTGGTGACCATGATGCATTAATTCACCTGTGACTTCTAAGGACGAGGCAGTGCTGCATCGTCCCTGGCTGCTGCTCTGTCCTCTGCTGTGCAGGGGAGCCTGGACTGTGCTGGGCAGCAGAGCAGATGCTCGGTAACTACCAGCACTCTCACTTTGGCCTTGCAGCCTATCTGTGCACATGGGGCTTCTGAGCACAGACCTCCCAAGAGCCTTTCTCAAAAGATTGTTCCCATCTGCTGACGTGCTAAGGTTGAACTCAGCTCAACCCATCCTGGCTGCAAGAGAAAAACATCAAACTGCCCTATCTCCTCTAATGACCAATGAGATGCAGGTTTCATTTTAAGACATCTAGCTGGACACAGCCAGCAGCCCCGATTAACAGATGCTTACATCGCTGCGGCATTTGTCTTTTAAAATGATTACTTCCCATTGTCATCAGTGTCCCCCGAGAGCTGCTGCACAAACCAAAGGCTGAATGCTGTCCGCCTCTCAGCTCTGGTAACTGCTGGCACATGACTGTGTTGGTAACCGTGCTGGGGTCAGCCTGCCGAGCACTGTGCATGTTTACATTTTAATATTGCCTCCTGGCCCAGAGGAAACCATCTCTTCCCACCAAGGCGAAACAATCACTTTTTTCAGCATATATTTGTAATGTGCTGTAATCTAAAGTCTCACCATTTCTAAGTCTGTGAAGGAGGGGTGGCTCACGTATTTTCCAAAGCAACTTAGAATTTTGCGTTCATAAATAGTCTGTCTGTGTGCCAGTCAGGTGGCTAATGCATGGCTGGTACTTTCTTACATTGCACGGCGATTCGCAGGGATCCTAGCAACAACTGCATTTGGTAAAAGGTGTCCATTATATCCAGTGACCTAATGTTTATCACATTCAGTAACTGACCCTCATAGCTACTTCATTTAGGTGGTTTATGACAGTGAACTGCTGAACCACGCAGCAGGCCTTATTCACAACACAGCAGCACTTCTACTTCTGAGGGCTGTTTCACTGCACAACTGCTGTGTGCATGCAAAATGCTCTCTCTAAAAAACAAAACAAAACAAAACAAAACCAAGGAATATGCCTATTTCTTCTTTTGACAGATAAAATTGCTCCTGCATAAGCTCACATGTGGCGATAATAAGCCATGGAAGGAATTGTGTGAATTCCCCACAAAAGCTATGGTTAGATGCTACTTGAGCTATGGCTGTAATCCACAACACAAGAAGCTGTGAAAAATGTTGTGCCTTTAGGTCACAGGCAGAGCTTTGAGGAGGCACAGGAGGCTGCCCAGGCTCTGCAGGGGACTCAGCAAGGCAGCTGTTGGTGTGGGGAGCAAACCCAAACCCAGGTGAGAACCAAGAGTCTGCACTGCAGATTAATGGTGTTTGGGTGCCAGAGATCTTCACGTACTGTATTTCAAAGGCAATAGATCCTCATGATGGAAGGGAAGGCACTGAGACTCCACCATTTCTGACAGTTGCTTCTCATCATCTGCTAGTGACATCTCTTGAGGCTTTAGCCAGTCAGTCCCTAATCAAGCCTTGATTCTCAACTAGATATTTTTAAATTCAAAATACTGCACTGCAAAAAGCAACGCTGGCATAAATTCCCATCTGTCCTCTCATAATCAACTCCCAACACTGTGAGCAATCTTTCTGAAATCCAGATGACCTGAACTGCTCAGTACCTGGAAAACAATACTGCAAGAAATGGATGCTACTGTCCAGGACAGTTTAGGGACACTGATCCTTCCAGCAGTATATATATTACAATAAAGAGATATTTTTATATATTCATCATTATCCTATTGCCCTCACTTCTAACTACAACATTAGGACAAGAATTAGGGTAAACACAGTTAAAACATGTTCTCTGTCATATATGCTTATCCATCCCCTTTTGCCCCCAGCAGGTCATCTTTGCCCACAGGAGAACTCGCAGGGTACCATGCAGGCATCCAGGAGTCACCAGGAACAAGGGCACAGTTCACACAGAACAGCATTCCCACTGCTTTCTTGTTTTGCTGAGCATTAAACAGTGTTTGAGGACGTACCAAAGACCATCTTATCACCTGAGGAAACAGGTGAAGGACTGCCTGAGACTTTCTCATAGCTTCTCTTTGCTTTCCCAATACAGCCTGCACAGGACAAATACTCCCAAACCTAAGGTGCTGTGATACAGGCAGCTGCACCCCACTGTATATCTGTTTTCACAAAGTCAATGATGTTATTATATTTCATATCATCCAGCCAGAAAAGCACTAATGTGATCCCAGGGAAAGCATTTTCAATACAAGATACCATAACCCTTGCAGAAAAATTGGACAAGGCTTGCATGTACTTTGTCAGATCAATTTTCTAATCCGGCTCACCATGCAAAGCTTGCTGGTGTTGAACTTGCATTTCAGTACACTCTGTTACGGCCATTTCTGGGAACCCTGTGAATGGTGGAGGGAGAAGGGATTGAAGAAAGGGCTGTTTATAAATCTGTTCCTGTAGGATAAAGGGAGGAGGTAGGACCAAACAGCAGGACTCCCAGAAAGGGCATATGCCAAGGGGACTGGGCACAGCTTCAGCATCCCTGCAGGAGCTCTCTGCCCAAGCGGCCGTATTTACCTGCAGGGGCCAAAGTCCCCAGCTGTTCCCCTTGCTGCGTGCTAGCTCCAGCTGCTGCTGCTGCAGGGAAACAAATCCAAGGATTAAAGAGGACGTGAACACCATGAGTGATATCCAAGTGAAGCCAAGCTATTCATCCTGGCTGACCAAAGCCAACAGTGACTGGCACTGTCAAGGTAAATGCTTTGACTTCAGGATTTCCTTGACAGTACATCACTCATTTTACCCTTTAGGGCTCATCACTGCAGGTTGGCAGCAATGAAGATGCTGAGAAAAGCATGAGGGCTATCGTAAGGGTCTTCAGGGGACTGGGGCAGTTAGAGGATGGAGCAGGAGTACAGATGGAGGTAGATGATCTTTAAGGTTCCCTCCAATAGAAGTTGTTCTGTGATTCAGTGATGAGAAGGCACAGCAGAGACATTATTTAAGCAAGGAAGTGAAAAACAGTGCTGTGGTTCTGAGTTTATCACTCCCATGTCCACTCTGAGCTCAGTGAGGTTGCATTCCTGTGTAAAAGAGCAGAATCAGACAAATTCCCCCAAAGGTGATTAGAGATTATATATTGTTGGGAAGATTATGTAAGTATATATATTTAACCTAGAGAATGATTCCATTGGCTGTCATGTTTGCTTTAGTTTTGTTCCAAGATACAAAATTAATCAATTCAGGTAATACAAAAATAGTTGACACTTACAAGGGCTATTACTCAAGATCACTCACTCTGCTGCAGTTCATTTCCCTGACAACAGAAGTCAGCTCCCAGAAAGCAAGTTTTGAAGACATTTATGAAAGAGGAATTTTTACCTAGATTCGAATAAAACGTTTTTTTAAAAGTGTGTTTTCAGTTGTAGGACATCTTAGATCACTACCTTAGTGTTTTTAACTTCCTTTTTCTCCAATGTGAAGGAATCTTTACAGTTATTGTTGATTTGTTTTGGGAAATCCATCAAAATTGGCAGAAATGTTTGAAGCACTGAATGCATGGATGATGTGATTTATGGAGCACTTATGAAAATGTCAAATACAAACATTTGGCAGTTTGTTATGCAGTGTGCCAGCAGCGCTCTGATTTTTAAGCACAGCTTCAGGTATTCTAGGCTAGTGATTTAAACTTCTGATGGGAGCAGTCGTGGTTGTCTCATTCCAGCCATGCATCTAGGAGGAATTACAGCTTTTTCTTTCCTGATCCGAGACTATAGAGTAATTTCTAGCAAACATGAGCAAGCAGTGAAAGTTTGGGTATACCTTAGTGCCCCAGCAAAGCTCTCAAGGACTGCCGGACCTTCCCTCTGTGGGGATCCCTGCAGGGCCATGGGCTGTAGGACTGAGCCCTCCGTAGAGCACTTACATACAGGTACCTATTTTACTGTCTCTTTTCAACCAGCTAGTAAAGTACTTTTAAGCTGAATCACAGCTTTGGAAGTCTGAAGCAAACCAGCCAGTGAAAACAGCAAAGACAAGAATATCTTCACCACAATATTATTTAAGTGCCATGCAGTACTTCCAGGCACAATTTAGGTGATGGGTCTGTGGTGCAGCCAGATAGTTGCAAGCAGAAAGATTCTCAGGATGCTCAGGGATGTTTACGTTTGTGCTGAGCCAGAACATCCATCATGTCTGACTTGAGCAGCAGGATTTCCTTAAAGACTTGGCTGTACCACTCCAGAGGAAAAACACCTTGTAAGCTGGGAAGGACTTTTGAAGAGCAGCTGTGGCTAAGCAGGCAGGTCTTTATTTCAGTGGTGAGGAGAGACATTTTGCCAGAAACCATCTGTAGGAGAGCGAGTCAGACATCGTAGGCATAGCTGGGAACATCTCAAGGCCTTGCAGAGTACCTCCAGCTTTTGGGAGGAGCTGAGACACGTGCTGTCCTGGGAATCCTCTGCTCGATTGGGATCCCATGTGTAAGCAGTGTTGCTGCAGGGCCAGCCTGGGCAGGAGGACAGCTGCTCCTCAGCTCCTCCTTGTACCCCAGCCATCTTCTCAGCAGAACAGCCTTTCTGTGCCCTCATCCCTGCTGAGCAAGGCTGGTTGTCCCAGCCCCCTGCTCAGGGTGCTCCTTTGGGGTCTGTGGGGCACCCAGAGAGCAGCAGCAGAGCCACAGCTCTGCTTCTACATCTGCACCAGGGAGGTGGCAGAGGGCTGCTGGACATCACCTAACCCCACGCAGGGACTCAAGGGACCAACTTTCTGCTCTTTTCCTGGAGTACAGGGTTACCAAGTGACAGTGTAACACACAGCTGGGAGCAGGGCCAGTACCACAGCTGCTCCCTTTCACTTTCTCAGATTTTAATAAAGGTCATGTTGCCAAGTGCTCAAACATAGCTGCTGCTCCAAATAAGCACTCAGAAAAGCTGATGTCACATCTTAAAGGCCTAATTCCGTGTTTTTGTCTCCACAGCAAACATCCTGACAGTCATCATCCTCTCCCAGCTGGTGGCTCGCAGGCAGAAGTCCTCCTACAACTATCTTCTTGCTCTAGCTGCTGCTGACATCCTCGTTCTCTTCTTCATTGTCTTTGTTGACTTCCTCTTGGAAGATTTCATCTTAAACAAACAGATGCCTCAGGTACTGGACAAAATAATTGAGGTATTGGAATTTTCTTCCATCCACACATCCATTTGGATTACGGTTCCACTAACAATTGATAGGTACATAGCTGTGTGCCATCCACTTAAGTATCATACAGTCTCCTACCCTGCTCGTACTCGAAAAGTCATTGTAAGTGTTTACATCACCTGCTTTTTGACCAGCATTCCCTACTACTGGTGGCCCAATATCTGGATTGAAGACTACATAAGCACATCAATGCATCACGTCCTCATCTGGATCCACTGCTTTACTGTTTACTTAGTGCCCTGCTCCATCTTCTTCATACTTAATTCGATCATCGTGTACAAGCTGCGACGAAAGAGCAATTTCCGACTGCGAGGATACTCCACAGGGAAAACAACAGCCATTTTGTTTACTATAACTTCTATTTTTGCCATTCTCTGGGCACCAAGAATAATCATGATACTGTATCACCTCTACGTATCACCTATAAACAACAGCTGGGTGGTACATATTGTGTCGGACATTGCCAATATGCTAGCATTGCTGAACACTGCAATTAATTTCTTCCTCTACTGTTTTATTAGCAAAAGATTTCGCACAATGGCAGCTGCCACACTGAAAGCCTTCTTTAAGTGTCAGAAGCAACCTGTACAATTCTATACAAACCATAACTTTTCAATAACAAGCAGTCCTTGGATTTCCCCAGCCAACTCTCATTGCATCAAAATGCTTGTTTACCAGTACGATAAGAATGGAAAGCCTATAAAAATATCACCATGAAGAGGGCAATAATTGGAGTTTCTGGGTGAAAGTTCTTTACAAGAGGTTACATATTCAGGATGTAATCTGCTGAAGTGGCTGTTTTAAAGAGTGGTCATCCGATTTCATTTCCCTGGGAGGCTGAGGGCAGATGTGACTGTTAGAAGGGAATAAGAGCACTTGATTTTAGGAGCAGAAATATGAAGGCAAATGCCTTCGTCTTCTACACAGCATTTTGAATATGCTTCAGAGTTCAAGTCTTAGCATTCAGTTGCATTCAAACGTTTTGCATCCAAACACCAGTGCAGTCTAAAGTCTTTTGAGGGAGGAAGCTGCAATAGTTAATTACTTTTCAGAAACAACAAAGTCTTACTGGACCATGTAGTTCACCATCAAAAGAGCAAACTGATGCTTTCACGTGCTGTGGAAGGTGCCATTTCTGTTATATGCCCTTGCCAAAACAGATGTGTTCTCTCTGACATGAAATACCGCCACACAGATTTACCGTCAAGTCCTTTTGGCAGGAGGCAGTCGTGAGGCACAGACTATGACAAGCCCCTTTTGGCTCATCTGAGCGGGGCTCAAGGGCCGATATTTGACCTGTTACACAGCCTTGGCATGGAAAGCAATCCTGCAAGCTGCCGACGTTCACATGTTTTAAGATATTTAAGATACAACCAAGACAGGGGAGATTGACAGAGGGAGGTTTCTAGAGCCAAGAACAAAGGCAGAGAATTGTCCCCGCTATTTCAGTTACGGTATTTGAAGACTCTCAAGTGTGAGGCCAAATCCTGCCTGATGCTGAGCTGCCACTGAAGCTGGTCCTGCAAGATTTGGATTGATTACAGCCCTCACTTTCCTCGTTAATCAGTGAAGATTCTCAGTTATCCCCCACGTTCAGGCCTTTAGGGATTATATGTATAAAACCTTAACCTGAGATTTTCTCCTGGCAGATTATGCTATTCCTATTGCAGATTTGCCATTCAATTGTTAAAAGACTATTTGTGAAAGAAATCCAATAAATCCATTGAATACCCTACGGCAGTGAAAACATAGATTAGTTTCAAATATTTACCTTATTTAAAGTGGCTTAATTTCTCTTTCTTTACACTCAAAAAAAGCTTCACAGCAATGCTGGGTGTAGAAAATGGGAAGAGATTTACAGGAAGGCTTAAAGTGCATTTCTTTTACTTTGTCTCATTTTCAGATCTTGGCATATGGTCTCTCAGAATCATGTACTCCAGCTTTTTCACTTAGGTACTGGGTGTTTAATACAGCCTTACTAAATGTGTGAGCAGACTTCCTTGCATGGTGAACACAAGCACAATTTGGTCAGTGAACACAGCAGCCTCTCAGTAACTGCAAACAAAACACAGCCTGGTGCTAGCAGTGTGTTTGTGTCTGTGCCCACCTCCATTACCAGCGGGGAGCTCATGGTGCATCTGGGACTACTACAGTGAGGTTCCCAAAAAAGGATCCAGTCTGTTCTGCTTCAGTGGGATCTGAGGGTTGAAAGCATCCCTCTAAAACCTGTGGATGGCTCAGCTTTGGTGCACAAACACATCCTAAAAAATACCAAGTCTGCAGAAGTCCTGCTGAGGACAACAGCCTGGTTTCCTTCTGCCATGCAATTACATACCTACTCCTGCTGGCATCCTGCAAGACCAAAGCCTATCCCAAACCCAAGCACACCTTGGGAAGAAATGGCAGCAGAAGGCACAAACCATGAAGAGTGGGGCTGCGTGCAATGGCTGGCTGAGGTGCAGAAGGGCTTTCTCAGGAAAGGTCGGACTACTCAGGTTGGATGGGCCCAGCGCCTTGGTGAGCAGGTGCTGCCCACTGCTCCCCATCAGCAGAGCCATCGGGCCAGGTGAGATGCTCAGAGCTGCTCCACCAAGAGCTGCAGCACCCCAAGGACCGTGCTGGTGTGGCAAGGAGAGGGGCTCGGCGGGCAGAGTGAAAGCTGTCCCTTTCCAGAGGAATGCTGCAAGCCCAAATCTCCACATATTCAAAGGGAAATGAAGAGCCTCCTCATATTCTGGCCTGTTTGCCCCTGTAATCTCAACAAAATATCACACTTACTTGCAATAATAAAGCATAAAAGGGATGCTCAGCCTTGCTGTATTTATCACAGCAAGGTTAAAATTACTCCTCCCTTTACTAGTGTTTTACATAAATAGTCTTGTGGTCATGCCTTCTACCTTACTCAGAAATCTCTTTCTGTTCTTTACGTGTCTGTTGATAGTAACCAAAGTTACCTATGGAAAAGGTACTGTATGTCTCATTTTGGAGAAAACACTGTATTTATAACTTATTTTTATGCTGAATTTGTTATGAGGAATGCTAGTCTGAGTTACATGTGAATGAGTCTGAAGTGCAATATCTATATAGATAAGTAATTCATTTTTGAGAATGTATCTATTGAAAAAATATTTATACAAGATATTCACTATTCTGCTTAATATAACAGTAACCTTACAGAAAATAGTGAATATTTAGGGCTTTTATTTATTAAAAAAAAACTCAATTAGGTGCATGGCATATGCTGCCATACACATGGTGTGATTTATCAGTTTTTGTAACATAATGGTTTTCCTGCAAACTGGCAGAATCATCTGACTTTTTCCTGTCCTAATGAAGTATTTTTGTAAGTTCCCATATTTAAAGATTTTTTTTTTTTTTTTTGCATCGATATTTATTTCCAACTAAGAATAACTCATTAAATAGCTGTAGCTTCATTTCAAAAAACAACTCCTAACCTGTTCCGTATCACTTTAGAAATGACATGGTGCAATTTTCACATACAGTGGTCATCTTATTTCTGATAATTTAGGGCTCTAAGAGCTTGCTTCCAAAGCCCCTTCAAGTCAAAGAGAAGATTGTATGAGGCTTTTGTGGTTGGTTTCTCCAATCCCCATCAATTTAGGAGGGCTTTGGATCAAGACATATCTTGTTAACAGACGTTTGAAGCCTTGTTAGAGTCTGGTTTGGGTAATAAAGCCTTGACATTTTTGGTCTGCGTATGAGAGCTGCTGTTGATAATACTTGCCTTATTTTTTGGTTTTGTGGAGCATCTTGCAATGACTGTTGCTAACTAGCCAATGTCTTGCTGTGTTATTCATACCTCCTAATTTTACAATAGTAAAAACAATTAACTGAGCACATAAAGTTTCATTATTTAGGGAATTTAGGGAAAAAACAACCTGAAGACAAAATCATCTTTGTTCTGGAGGTGGTCCTTTGTACTCAATTTCTATTTCAAGTATCAAAAACTATAAAAAATAAACTGTGAATGGACAGTTTTACAATTACACGTAGGTAATATTTCCTTCAAGACCACAGCTAGGAACAAAATACTTTTTAGATGAGTTACTGATATATAAAATTATGAGACTTATCATCTATTTAAATTGTGAATATTGATATTTTCATAAGTAGACATATTGTGTTTGATGGGCTTGTTTGTATTATAATAAATTATGAAATGGTGCATAACTTCTTACAGTGTTTGGGGCTATTATGTTTCAGTTATAGGTTCTTATTACATACTGTGGATTTCTAGATAATTATACTGCACTGCATATAAGACTGATCCTTGCAACAGCTACTCAATAAAACACAGCGTTGCATTATGAGTGTTCATTCATTGCTGGAAAAAAAAACCTGAAGTACAAGATACATCATTGCTGGCCCAATTTTCCTTGTAAGCTGAAGCTGTGAGTTAGGGTCAGCTGTTAAAGTCAACTAATCCCTATCCCTAACACCAGAGGAAGGTTTGACCTGCAGAGATCGTTGAAACCTGACCAAAGTGAGTGTGATGTCAAGAAGCTGGGCTGCTGTCAGCAGCCACTGGAAGTGATGCAGAAAACCGGGCCTAGAAGAGCAAAAGGCATAAACCTAAGTCCCAGCATTGGTAAGTGACAAAACTGAAGGCATAAATTTCTCTGCAGTTAGGCTGCATTTGTTATGAGAGCTGGAGAAAATGGGACAAATAGCACTGTGGTTCAAACTGGGGAGAAAAACGGATCCCAAAAAAGGAAATCTTCCCAATCCACACATTTGGGGGGATGCCTCATGTCTGTGTGCTCTATGGGCTGGGCACTGCCTGGAGCGTGAAATACAAAGCACGAGAGAGAACACGTTACCCTTTAGCATAAGGCACAGGCTTCTTGCTTGAGCAGCTACATCTCATCCCCAGAGCCATGGGAGAATGGCTTGGAGCCCGCTGGGCCACCTCACACAGGAAGGGCCTCTGGCAGCTCAGCACCCCACAGGTAACCAGGCCAAAGAGAAAGAACAGTGTTTTCAATTTAGTTTTCTTGCCTAATAGGAAATAATTTTAGCTCAACTGACCACAAGTTAAATTCATTTGAAATATAAAAACACTGCATCTGTGATTAAGGTTTTTATTTCCCAGAAGAACAACCTGATAAACCAAGGGAAGTGAGGACCTCAGGGGACAGCATGTGGAGGAAGCCTAGACGAGTCAGTGGGAAAGGGGAGGTGGTGGAGGGGCAGCATTGTGAGTTGTTCCCCAAGGAGGGATGCTGGGACCCGCCAGCCTCAGCATCTTCATTAACAGCTGCAGCATGAGAGGGACTGATGAAATGCAGAGATTATGAAATGGCATCATACTGCTGGTGGAGGGCAGAAGGAAAGGTATTTCATGTAAGAACTGAGTGACCTTGAAGATTCAAGTGATAAAAATGGGATGATTTCAATAGTAATAAACAGGGCCCTCCACTTGCCTGCCTGTAACAATACGTTTCCTATAAAGCCTCAGCAATCAGAAACAACTAAGAACCCAGTTATGCCAGCTGGGCTGGAACGATGATGAGTCACCAACAGAAAGCAGCTGAAAAAAAAGCCCAGAATTAAATCACAAAGACATTGTAAAGAGACAGAATAGTATTCATTCTGTTTTGCAAGACCTTGTCTGGGATATACATTTATATCAAGAGATAAATAGCGGTAGCCAGAAATAACAATGATAAACAGAGCTGGAACAAGAATAAGCGGTGATGGACTTCTCTCAGTTTGCTTTGGAAGGCATTTCACCAAAGCAGGAAGGTCTACAAAAGCCCACCCAGAACACAGATTACCTCAGTGGTTGTAAGTGGAGCTCAACAGCTTTGTGAACAGAGTGGTGAGACAGCAGCGGGACGTACTGGGGCTGTGCAGCCCCATGCTGCCACTCTCCCTGGGTGCCTGCACCTCCTGCACAGTTCAGTAGGACCCCAAGGGCTACAATCATGCCCCCGTGAGCCCATTCCCCCCAGTACAAGAGCAGGGAGCTGCTCATCAGTGAGCTGGGAGCCAGCAGACGGCTACAGCTAATGGACTCCCCATTGAACACATAGTGACTTCTGCTTCAGCTGCTCAATTCTTTGAAAACCTCTTTAAACCTGCTAAGCAGTCGAATAAAAAGCAACCACACACAGACTTGAACTGTTAAATAATAATCCCACTATTAGCAAGCTGGGGCTGGATTTGCTGGAGCTGCCTTTCTGACAGCATGCAATTAATCCCTGGGAGCTGCCAGACACAACAAGGGGGTTGAGAGGCTCCAGCCGTTGTAACAAATAGGCATCACAAACGAATTTACTATTGGCCTGCCATGGTGGACCAAAACAACATAAACATTTATGATAATTACAAAATAGTGTCAAAAAAAATTAAAGGCTTGTGTCTTCCTGCCTCACAGACAGGCTGGAAACCCTGCTCCATGCATTCCTCACTCAGCAGCTGCTTCTATGCTGAGCCTGCTAGAGGTATGCTATTGAATATTATGGGCAGAAGATTAATTGGCTGTAGCACTGCAGTAACGAAGGCGTCAGCTGAGAGCAGCACCTCCTGCTGTATGCTACAGGAGCACCCTGCAGCCCAGGCACACACAAAGCAGAGCAGGGGCATTTTTGCTGCCCGTTTTGCTGAACAAGAACCAAGGCACCAAGGCAGTGCTCTCGCAGGGCTGCTGGGGGGGAAGGACAGCAACTTGACTCCCCAGCAATCCCGGCAGGTACAGACAGCACTGACTCTTGGTGGTGCTGTGTCTGGGATAGGAAATGATAAAAGTCCAAAAGGGAGCTACTGATGAAATCCATCAGAGCCTCTGGCTGCCTGGGGTCTCAGGACACTGGGAACCAAACTACACCAAAATTACAAAGGGATGCTGCCAACCCAAACTGTGTGTTGCCAGCACTGCTTACATCAGCATTGAGCAAAAGCCATTCCCTGATTTCAACCTGCATGTTTTTAAGAGAACTTCCCCACATCCCTTAATGGGAAAACAAACAAACAAAAAACAACAACCATTCACTATGGGGTTTTTCCTCCTTTTTGTTTTGTTTTGTTTTATCTACTTTGTTCTTCTGCAATAGAAACCTACCTGAGTTGCAGGCAGTTTCAAGGAAGGGATAAGCATGCTGGAGGAATTGCCTGTGTTGCCTCCTTTTCTAGCTGCAGCACTGAGGGGATGCAGTGTAAGCAGAAACAACCCAGCCCTATCTAGGAACCCCAACCAGGCCCTGAAAAACAAAGGGTGAGCGATGCAATATGTAGGATTTGTTCGTTGTCTGCGCCTGGCAGAGACAGAGCCCCAGTTCCCTAAGGGTTTCCATGTAAGGGGATATGAAGATGAGAACAAGCCCTGAAGCATAAGGCACAGAGCCCTGGTGTGCCGAAACTGAGACCAGAAAATGCCGTACTTTTATTGTAAATTATAGATATCGAGTGAATCATGTAATCTACATCTTTCTGATCAGTCTTTTTAAAATAACACCTACTGTTATTTATCATGGCGATAACAGTGGTTACGTGGGAAAAAGATTGGCTGAAAGCTGCTTTATAGATTACATCTGACTGAGGTTAGAAAAGTACAAAGTGAAGGGAACCTAGGTACTGCTCAGAGTCTCTTGCTCTCGGCAAAACCAGAAAGACAAAAATCTTCACAGGGAGAGCCCCCCTCCAGCATTCAGCCCATGCACTCTGATAACTCGGACGGTTCAGGACCGTTCAGCACTGAGCCTGAGCATGTTACAAAGCAACAGCAGTCCAACTCAATCCATGTGAGCTCTGAAAGTGGCAGTTATCCCGGAGGATCTCAGACATCTGGCCACAGCTGGCTGGTTAATCAGCTGCCTGCAGGAACAGACACAGATTTTCCCGTAAGCCAATATTGCACCAGTGTAACCTTTACCAAGAGTGCATATCCAGCAATCAACAGCTCGGCAGCTGCCTGCAGGAAGGCACGTGCCTGAAAATTCACCTCTCAAAGGCAAACCCTGCAGACACTGAGATGAAAATGGCGCTTTGTGCTCACGGCTGCAGCTCTGAGAGGGTGGTGGAGCTTGCGGGGTGAAGATGAGGATATGCATTTGTGGAATAGCTGTAGGAGAGACCTGCTTAACATGCAGAACCATCTCGACACAAGCAACTGCATCAGTGATTCGGAGAGGAGAATGAATAGGGAAGGGATGAAATTTGCAGTTTAATTAAACAACTAGGAATTATCAAGTGTGGGGGGAATCAGGGAAACAGCACCAGGGAATCCACAGGCAGAAGGCAGTGGACATTTTGCTAAAGTGTCAGCTAAAATAGGAGTGCATTAGTGTAACTAAAAAAATTGTAAAATCTTGAAAAGCACCAGTTGGGTTCTCTGGGACGGAGAAGTCCAGGAGGCATAAAGGAAAGAATGAAGCTGCCACAGTGCAGAGCAGCAGAAAGGTCAGTGCTCCTCGGGGTCAGACTCTAAGGTATCCTACCAGCTCCACACAGAATTGGAGAGCAATGCAGGCAGGGAAGGGGCTGTTGGTAGCCTGCCCAGCCACAGAAGGACAGAGAACTAAGCAAGCTGCCAGAGAGGTGGTGGAACCTCCTTCCCTAGGGGCATTCAAAACCCACCTGGAAATTTTCCTGTGCAATGTGCTCTAAGGAACCTGCCTTAACAGGGATCCCAACTGAGGGATCTCCAGAGTATCTTCCAATCCCTACAATTCTGTGATTCTATGTGTGTGTGACATGGAAGACCCATGGCATGGCAGTGGTGACCTGCAACAGGACTACAGTCTCAGAAAGGTCATTCTGCATTTGCAGCTCCAGAGATTGCTACAGCCAGAGAAAAACAACTTTTACAAGATCAAGGGGATGGACACCAAAGCAACTCTCTAAAATTAGATTTACAAAACATCCTGAATGTTTTTGAATCCTGAATTGTTGTTGAAATGGGAATTATGAATTGTAGGGAGAGAGGAATGGCCAGGAGGAAATGGTGAAGAATTTGGAGTCTTTCTGTCCACAGAGTGTAGGACAAATGCAGGGCATGACAGGACAGGGCAGCACCATGCATGTGAACAGTATCCTTAGCCCATATCAGCCACAACCAGCTGCACCAGGAAGGAAAAGACTTCTTCCCTGTCCATCCATGCTGAGGTGCAACCTCACTCAGTGAGGCACTGCGTCCGCAAGCTTGCATGCAGGCAGCACCAAGGCTCTTCTCTATGCTACCCACTTTGGTAGCTATAGCAATGAAACAGTTGAAGAGTCAATAGGTGTAATTATAATGAATAAAACTGCTGGAGTCCTGGAATTGGAG